AGATAGATAGATAGATAGATAGATGGGGTGAATGGGGATAGATAGATAGATAGATAGATAGATAGATGGGGTGAATGGGGATAGATAGATAGATAGATAGATAGATGGGGTGAATGGGGATAAATAGAGAGATAGAGGGGGTGAATGGGGACAGATAGATAGATAGATAGATAGATAGATAGAGGGGGTGAATGGGGATAGATAGATAGATAGAATGAATGGGGATAGATAGATAGATGTGTATGGGGACGGACGGATGGAAGAGTGTGTATGGGATGGCTGGACAGACAGAGTACAAGTGGATGGATGGGTTTCTATGGGGATAGACAGAAAGAGATAGACAGAGGGGTCTGTATGGGGACAAACAGACTGATATGGAATCAATACATCTTCAGAGCCAAGGGTCCAGCCCGCATACGCTTAACCTTGGGCAGTCCCGACGGGTCAGTCATTCAGTGAGTCAGTGGCGGGGATCCTGGCCCCCTGGCCCAGCCCCCCGTCCCCAGTCACCTTAAAGGACTGGACGAAGGTCCACAGCAGGATGCGGATGGTGTAGCCCTGGCGCAGGAGCTTGATGAGGCGGGCAGCACGGAAGAGCCGCAGGAAGCTCAGGTTGATGAAGTTGTTCTGAGGGGACGAGAGGAGGGAGAGGTGAGGGCTACCCGTGGGCACAAGCGGGGAGATCCCCACCCCCAGGGGAGACTGCCCTGGACGTGTGCCCGAATCCACGCAGCACCGCAGGGGAACAACCCAGGGAAACATCAACTCCACGCACATGATTAACCCACCAACTCACAACTCAAACAAAATACACGGAGAACTCAATAAAGTATTAATAAAATAATAACAACACCATCAATTGTGATCATTATTAGCAATGAATAGCAACTGTTTATAACAACCAATAATACTAATTATTATTATTCACCATGCCATTAATTAATAACTAATGATAAATAGCAGCAATGCATATTAATAAATAATATATAAATTATTATAATACATAATGCTATAATTGTTTATAAGATAAATAAATGATAATACATAGTATTATTAAACCAATGATATAACCAATAATACCACTGATAAATAATAAATGATATTGCAATGCATATTAATAAATAATAGTAATATAACACATAATACTATTAATATAAACAATACCAAATAATGATAATTATAATACACAATAAATAAATATAATGATTATAATGCATTGGATGCTATTAAGAATAAAATGAATATTAATGAATTAATAGTGTTGTTAATAATTTAATAAAAATAAATGATAAATAATATTAATACAAATAATGATAACCAACCATGACAATGAATGATAACGCTATTAACAAATCACAGCATGGAAGCCACCCAACAATCTCCACCCACCAGCCATCCCTGAAAAAGGGGAAACGAACATAAAGGAAACGAACAAGCCGGGCTCATCCAATTGGGAACTCAATGGTTATTCGTCAATATCAGGGTTATATATTTTTAACTATCCCAACAACCAAATGCACTGATATTTTCTGACACAAGCAGGTAGAGCATTGTGGGGTCACATCACACATGTACTATGCACACACAACCAGAGAGAATTGAAGCAGGACAAGTGCCGGGAGAGGGGGAGTCCGGGGTGGGAAGGGATCTGGGGACTTGCAGTATGTTACAGATCGCATGTGATGATTGGGACCTCAAATGCATCTGTCTCTGTGCACCCAACAGCCACGCTGGGATGCTCCCTGGAATAACTTCTTGAGGCTGGCGGAGGGGGAGGGGGCTCAGCCTGCAGGCAAGGACGACATTCAATGGGGTTTTGCTCCAAGGGATGGGGAGGGGAGGGCCAAGAGGCTGGGAAGCTCTACTCATCCTGTTGGTTTCACGAAGATGCATTTTGGACCCCTCTCCCCCAAGGAGGGGATGGCATGTGGCTTCTGGGACCGGGCTAAGCGTGGTAGGCGCTGGAGTTCCCCTGGGCACTGGCTGCTGGAGTAGGGCAGTTCTGCCTGGCTCGCTGGGCCGGAGTTCCAGTTAATCGGTGGCATGCAGCTCCGAGGTTAACCTCAGGCCACCAACCTTTGCCCCCTTGCGGTCACCCTGCCTTTTCTAAGAGACAAACTCGCTCCTGGCACGTGGACTCTGTTCTGGCTCGGATCTGGGGTCTGTTTGGCAGATCCATTGCAGACCCGGCGTCAGCTGTGAAGTTCTGACCTCGAGCCCAAGGACTCCCCTTCCCTCTGCCAATCGATGCACAAGTCAGAAGTGGGGCTGGGATCCCAGCTCCTCCGGCACAGCACAGCACTCGCCCAGGATCCAGGGTTCTAATCCCACCCTGGAAATTAAAGGACTTGGCTCCTACACCCATTGCTATGTTTCCAGCCTCACCCAGCCTGGATCAGTCTGATCCCTTCTCTCCACATCCAGAGGGCGGGCGGGACAAATGGAGCAGTGGGGCTGGATTGGGTGTACAGGGGCGGAAGGTGAAGGTACTTGACCCACGGGGTGTACAGGCGCCTTGCCTGGGTGCTGCCTAATGGGGAATTCCCAAGAGCACAGCTGGACAGCATCCTCCTGCCGTCTGTGGGAAGCCCTGCCGGGCAAGAAGAAACCCCTTTGTTTCCAGGGAGCAGCTGTACATCACATACATCACATACATCACAAGACGTATGTGGCCACACAACACGCATCACAGGACTCATGTACAGCCGCACAACACATGCCACGGGACTCTTGTGTAATCTCATGACCCAGGCCAGGCGATCCTTGTGCAACAGCCAAACGTGCCAGAAAAAGCTTGTGCAATCGCACAATGCGAGCCACAAGACTTGTGCTGCCACACAACATGCACCACCAGGGCTCTGTACCCAACACATCCCGTGTGACTCTTACAATTGCACAGAACAGGCCACATGACTTGTACACAACATAGCCCAGAGAACCTTGTGTAGTTACACAATGCACAGCAGGGAACTCCTGTGTAGTTAACACCAGGTCCAAGGGCCTGGCTGTATAATTACACAACAGATACCATGGAGCTGTTGTGTAACTACACAATATACATTACAGGCCAATGCACCAACCCATGGTTCCCTGTATGTGGGCACTTCTCTCCAGTCCCCCCCTGCTCGGACATGGGGAGGTCTGCCTGCTCCCTGGCGTGTGTTCCCAGAAGCTGTGAGCCATCCCTCCAAGGAGTGAGTGTAACATACGGACTCCGGGGGGGAGCATGCGTCAGCACCCTCTGGGGCGGTGGCGGCAGCACCGATTTATCAGCCTCCCAAACCGACTGAGAAATCGAACAGCGAGGCTCATGCGGGAGCACGGAACAAAAAGGCCCCCCACCTCTGCAGAGAGAGAGAGAGAGAGAGAGAGAGAGAAACGGGGTGGGGGGGAATGGAGAAGGGAGGGGATCTTCCATTGTTCCACCAGGAAGCTCCTCCAATAGTCTTTCCACCCTCCTCTCCGCACCTTTGCCCCCTTCTCCCCTCTCTTGGATTTTAGGTCTGAGTGAAACTACAGGGTCCCTCCCCTTCAGCCCTTGCCCCCTACGCCGCTTGGTTAATCCCAGAGGACGCAAAGCAGAGTTGTTGACCTGGTTTCAAGCTTGCCCCAGACGCTCCCCTCTGGTAGGGCTCAGTCCAGGTCCTGCTGGGATGGGGGGCGGGGTCTGTGTCACACATGGCAAAGATGGCAGCCCCTCGCGGTAGCCAGGCAGAGGGGCCATGGAGAGAGCACTCCCCTCTTGCTGCTAGAGGGCGCCCTGCCAAGGTGGCAGAGGGGTGTTGTAGGAGTGTGAGGCTTGCCCGGCTGTTGGCAGGGAACCCGCCAAGGGTACTTTAAACTCTGAGGCAAACTCAGCCCTCTAGGGCCCTGGGGAGGGGAGAGTGGTGGGGAACAACAGCAGCAGGGCATGGGGGGAGGGAGAGCATGTGCTAGCGTTAGGGTGGCGTCTGGAGGCGGGAGAGGGAAACACCTAGCGAGGGCACGCACGGTGTGGGCACGCACGGATCTGCGTGTGAATGTGTGTGAGGTGCGTGTGCAGGCAGCGGTGCATGAGTGGGGATGGGGGGGGGAATAAGTGTGTGTGTGGGGGGGTGCACGCCTGGGGAAGGTGTCCACGTGTGACGGATGTGTGTATAGGAGGCCATTTCCATGTGCACACGTGGGGCCCAGACCGGCATAGGCCCTTCTTTGCTCCTTCCTGGTTTCCATTTCCCCTGCCCATCCCGCACTGCCTCTCAACCAACAGCGATGGGGGGAGCAGGCCCTGCAGCTGTCAGCTGCTCTCCACCGAGGCAGCGTTGCCCCCTTGGTTCCTTCTTCCCTCCGGTGTGCTCGTGATCCCAGCCCCCAACCCTCAGAGGGTCAGAGCCGGGTCCCCGAGAGTCCTCAGCTAGCTGTAGATCTGAGCCGATACCGTGTGCAGACAGAGGGAGAGGTGAGAAGCCTGCTACATAACCTGGGGACCTGCTGTCCCCACTCTGTGCACCCACTGGGATCTCCCCAGGATCCCTCTATCTGGAGATCCACCCGTCCACCTGGGGTCTATCCCTTGGTCCACCCACATCTCTCCGTCTACCTGAGACTCCAGCCACCCCTTTCTCAGGAGATCATCCCCTGGATCTGGGGGATCTCTCGCCCTCCGACTCAGTGCCACCCCCCAGTTTGTTACACACCATATCACTCGGCCTCCACTAGGCCCTTTGAACAGAAAGACAAGTACAGAGACTTTTTCTTGTTTGCTGCTTTGTTTCAAAGCTACGTACATCTGGAGGAACGAAGAAGGGAGAGAGAAAGGAAGGAAGGAAGGAAGGAAGAGAGAAAAGAGAGCACGCTAGCGAGCTAGCTGCAGGCAGTTCCCAGCGCAGTAACTCATGCAATGCAGAGATGAGAGAGTGCTCTTAGATAATGCATTTAGGCTTCAGAAAGATATTAAACCAACCAGATTCTAGATGTAGATGTTGAGATGAATAGGAGGAGAGGAGTTGGGGGCAGAGGGAGAAATTTGAGGGGGTTGTTTGGTGTCACAGGTTGATTGGCAACCAGCGTAATATACAGAGATGGAGCGACAGATTGAGGACGGGGTGTTTTGTCGTGGGGGTGGGGGTGGGAGGCGGGGGAAGTTCAGAAATATTAGTTGGCATGGATACACAGACCGATTCATAGATGGACACATGGATTTTTCATAGTGCATTTTGATTGGATGACATTTTCAGAGGGCGTCGCCCCAAAATAGCACAGTATAAAGAGACAGCATGGAAAGAAGATAAGACAAGAGAGACAGTCATTATAGAGAGCACACAGCACGAGGCCGGAGAGTCCCGACCCACCCGCACAGGGCAGCGCCAGCACCCAGCCCCGCTCCCCTGCCTGCCGAGGGGCCGCTCTGATGCAAGGGAGCAAAGGGCGTGGGTTCTCCCCGGCGCTCGGGACCATGCCCTCCGGCGCAGACCCAAGCATCCAGCCTCCATGGCTTTGCCACCTCAGGCTGAGGTCTTCATCCTCGCGGCTCCTCCCTCCCCCGACCCTGGGAGGTGGGTCAGGAAACTGAGGCACAGAGAGGGGAAGAGATGTCCCCAAGATCAGACAGCAAGTCAGTGGCAAAGCTGGGATGAGAACCCAGGAGTCCTAGTTTCCAGCCCTGTCCTCCCAGGTACTAGGCTCTTCTGCCTTCTCGGGGGCTAACAGCCCTATCCACACAGTTCCACTGGGCCGGAGGGTCTCCTGCAGGTTCTTGGTTATTTCTGAAGGAAGGGCCCCTATGCCGTGTTCCCCGTCCCCGCCAGCCCTCCAGAATTTGCACTGCCGCGGAGCTCTCCTGCCAGTTTGGGTCCATTGCGTTTGCATGGTACAGGCCATCGAGGTCAAGAGCAGGTAGAGAAGGCAAAGTTGTGCAAGGGGCCAGCCCCTGACGTAGGCATCACCAGTCGCATGCAATGGCCTGGCAGGGCGAGGAGGGGCCTTCAAAAGGGACTTCTGTGTTGGGCTGGACTGGCAAAGGTCCACCCACCAGCAAACCCCACTCCTTGCTGCCAGGTCCTGGCCCCTCATTCTGCCTGCCTCTGGGATCCCATTGGATCTGCCAGCCCCCTCCTATCCCCAGACCCACAGACCAGGAGAACCCAAACCCCACAAGTGCCAGGAAGCAAAGACGCCATTTTGGTAGAGACGAGCGTTAGGGCAGGCTAGGTGGCGTCTGAATGTGGGTGGGCAGACAGGTGTGGGAGACGCCAAGGGGCGTGATTTACACTCCTTTTGCACACCCACTGACTAGTGTGTCTTGCCCACTCAGGGGGTTGGAAGGCAGCTCTCGGAAGATAGTAAGACCATTTAGAGTAGCTTCACTGAGATCAGGATCTGGGCCTCTGTCACCAGGGGATCCCGGGAGGGATAGGCCTTGCCTGGGAACAGAGTCGGGACACCCGAGCTCTATCCCCAGTGCTGGGGGTGTGGCCTAGTGCTTACAGCAGGAAGGAAGAGAGGTTTAGGACACCTGGGTTCCCAGCCACTGGGAGGGAGCGTGTCCTAGTGATTACAGGAGGAGACTGGGAGGGAGGTCTTCTGGGTACTATTCCCAGCTCTGCCACTGGCTCCCTCTGTGACCTTGGGTGACTCACTGCCCTGCGCTGTGCCTCAGTTTCCCCATCTGTAAAATGAGGGATAATTATACTGACCCCATCCTGGAGGATTAATTAACACTGGGGGAAGGCTCTCCAGGCGCTAGTTGGTGGCAGAGATGGAGGAGACCTGCTAGATCATTCAGTTCGTCTCCTCAACCCACCCAGGGCTGCTTCCTGCAGTTCTATACCAGTTAGATTGCAGGCATTGCCCCCGCCCATCTCCTGTACCCGGCTGCCACCCGCCCCCTACACCACACTGAAGTGCAGACTCCCCTCAAGTTTGCCCAAGATATTTTCTCCATTACGTTCACTCCACAAACAGGATGATCCCCAGTCACCCTGGGAGAGGTCCCTTGCCCACTGCCCTGAGTTTGGGCTGGCTGAGTTCTCTCCAGGTGGGATGTGAACTCTGCCATTGGTGGCTACCAAGGGGTGAGGGCCTGAGCTTTCTGCTGAGGGCGATGGCCCAGTTCAAATCCAACTGTCAGTAACATGTCTAGCGCTGTGTGCGCGCCCGTGTGTGTGTGTGTATCTCGGACTGTTCTCCTGCCTCCTGGGGAATGTCCCAGCGCTGCTTTCGGTTTTCTCTGTCTCTAGTTTCCAGGGCCAGGCTCTGCTCTCAGTTTCACCTGTGCAAATTCGGCATCACTCCAATGAACACTGAAAAGTGACTCTGGATTTACACCGGCATACTGACCCCCAGTGGAGTGATTCTGGATTTACACTGCATACCTACCCCCAGTGGAGTGACTCTGGATTTACGTCGGCATGCCTACCCCCAGTGGAGTGGCTCTGGATTTACGCCGGCATGCTCACCCCCAGTGGAGTGACTCTGGATTTACACCAGCATACTGACCGCCAGTGGAGTGACTCTGGATTTATGCCAGCATGTCCACCCCCAGTGGAGTGACTTGGGATATGGCATGTGAGATCAGAACCTGGCCCTCACTGAATCCATTTCAGGTGGGCAGGAACGCCCAGCTGGGTTTGGTTTTGACTCCATCTGCCTTGGCTTGGTCCCTCAGCACTTGGGGTTGTCCCCAGAACAAGAATTCTTGGGCCTCCTCATATAGAAACTGCATGGCTCTCTTCTCCCCATGGCGGCTATCTGGGATGACACCGAATATGGCTCCAACCCAGCTGTCTCCCTCGCCCGGCATCTGTCCTTCCTTGGGGCCAGGTGCAATGGGGTAAAAGCCCCTGCAGTGCCCCCCTCTGGCAAGCATCCCCCTCTGCTTAAGCTAAGGCCATAAGAGAGGAGGCGGTGTTTCGAACTTACCCCAAACTCTGTCACTAAGATGTCTGTGATGCTACCCAGAACTGTGACAAAATCAAAGATATTCCAGGCATCACGGAAATAATTCTATAAAGAAAAACAAAAACAAAGGACGAAAAGGAACAGCAACACAGCAGCAAACATTCAACGACATTCACGACGGAAGCAACAGCAACGAGAACAGAGAGTCACCCCCCGACCCCAGCCCCATCTCCTCCCTGCCCCCAGTGCCCTGACCCCGGGAGAGCGAGGCCCAGGTTACCTTTTCGGTGAGCTCCAATGGATCTGGCAGGCAAGAGGGGAGGGGGTCGAAAGGGTTAATTTAAAGGAGCGGTGGGGGTATTTCTTGGCACCTTGAAATGATCCTGGGGTGGCGGGTGTGACCGGGGCCTGATGCTGTATTCAGTTACCCGTGGGAATGACGATGGTGCAAAGACTGTGGTGTTCCACTGCTGTGTCATTGGTGTAAGGGCCAGACCAAAACTCCACTGAGATCAGTGGGAACCTCTCCACTGATTTCAAGGGGCTCTGGATCAGGACCCACCTATGAGCAGAATCAAGCCCAGGATCTCTGGCCCCCAGTATCAATCAGCTAAACCCAGGGGGACGCCCCCTCCCCCTCCAAAACTTTGGAAAAGTGCCCCCCCCCAGGCCCAATCAGAATGGACAGTTAGATGGACATTTAAAATGAAAGAATAAAACACACAGGACCAGAATATGTTACTGTTGCTGGGATCTTCCCGGCCAAGGGACAGAAGCATGTCCTTGGCTGGGTTCCCCGAGCTGGAGACGAAATCACAGCCCTCTCCCACCCCGTCAGAGCCACCAGTCACCGAGCGGTCCATAGCTCTGTTGAGCAAGCCCCCCATGGAGAAATGAACCCAGCACAGCAAACACAAGGAATGATGAGAAAACAGCCCCGTTCAAAGAAGGGAATGGGGCAGGATCAAAAATCAGCCACATTTTCTGGGGGAGATTCATTCTCTCTTTTTCCCTTTCTCCATCTATCAGCGTCTGCTCCCCGTGCCAGACCAGCCTGTGCTGCTCCTCCAATCCAGCCTCTTAACCTCCCTGAGCGCCCCTCTCCCTCTCGGCTCCTGCCTGAACGGAAGCCCAGATCCCTCTGTGCGGGATGGAGTCAGTTCCTTGCCCCGAACACCTGCACCAATGGTGGGAGCCTCAAACCCCCAGGGATCTTCAGTGAGCCATGAATGGAGATTGGACTCCTTCATGTCCCTCGGGGAGAAGATGCTAATGGACCTTACTCGTGGGACATTTCTCCTGTAGCCCCTCTTTATTTTGCTCCCCGTAATCCTCATAATAGTTCCCTGAACCACCCAGAACCACCTCCCCCCTTCCCCGAGCTGGGGTCACCTTACGAAGGGCTTGGAGATGCCTTCAACAATCACCTCTTAGTTGCCAGTTGGCAAGATGTTCTTACACTCCCCCCCAGGACGTGGAGGGGAAGAGTGTCAAATCCCCACCTGGCAAAGGGGGGAGGGCGGGGCACGGGGTTGGAAGAACAGGTGGGGAATCCCATCCTGCTGAAGGAGCCGGGTTCTGTCTTTTATTTCCATGGTAACACCCCATGCTCCCTAGTGGAATTGGCTGTGGAGACACTTACCAGCACCCCAAAGGCCATGATCTTCAGCAGACACTCCAGGGAAAATAATGAAGTGAAGACGTGGTTGAACATCTTTAGCACGTCCTCATAAGCAGTTGAGGCCTTGTCGAACTAAAGGCAAGAGAGGAGAGAGCAAAAAATCAGCCCCACGGGAGAGGCCAGGTCCCCAGACCACAGAT